ACTGAGACCCACATAAAGGATCACTTGGACAACGAAATATGGATCCCATGTTACAACCTATACAGATGTGACAGAGTGAACAGGCAAAAGGGGGGGGGTTGGCCTGTACATTGCAGAGTCACTTGTTTGCACAGAACTGCTTAATGCCTCAAATGATGTAGTGGAAGTTTTAGCAGTAAAGGTCGAGAACCAAAACCTAGTCATTGTGGTAGTCTACAAGCCTCCGGATGCAACATCCAGCAATTCCAGGAACAGCTGTTAAAAATTGACCACTGTCTGAAAATCTTCCAGCTCCTGCACCAACATCTTGCTCCTGGGGGATTTCAACTTAAGGCACCTAAAATGGAGGAATATAGCAAATAATATGTTGCAGTAATAACACCAGGAGGCAGCTCTGATGAAAACTCACACTCACACGAGCTTTTAAATCTCTGCACAAAATTCAATTTAAACCAGCAAATAATAGAGCCTACTAGACTGGAGAATACACTAGACCTCATCTTCACTAAACAATGATGATCTGATAAGAAATGTCACCATATCAAAAACAATATACTCAGATCACAACATAATTGAGGTTCAGACATGTATGCGTGGAGCCCCAGACCGACAAAATGAGACTAGTCACGAGGGAGGCATTCACCAAATTCAACTTCAATAACAAAAACATAAAGTGGGACCAAGTAAACCAACTCCTAACCGATATAAGCTGGGAAGATATACTAAGCAACACAGACCCAAACTTATGCCTAGAACAGATTAACTCGGTGGCACTCGATGTATGCACAAGGCTTATTCCTCTAAGAAAAAGGAGGAGTAGATGTAAAATAGAAAGAGACAGGCGCTCCCTTTACAGGCGACGGAAAAGAATAACAGAGCGGCTAAAAGAGGTCAATATATCTGAAATGCGCAGGGAGACACTGGTCAGAGAAATAGCAAGCATCGAACTTAAGCTAAAAAATCCTTTAGGAGTCAGAATCGCGGGAAGAACTAAAAGCCATAAATGAAATCGAAAGAAACCCAAAGTATTTCTTCTCCTATGCCAAATCAAAATCGAGAACAACGTCCAGTATTGGGCCCCTACTTAAACAAGATGGGTCCTACACAGATGACAACAGGAAATGAGTGAGCTACTCAAGTCCCAATATGACTCAGTTTTTAGCAAGCCGCTAACCAGACTGAGAGTCGAAGATCAAAATGAATTTTTTATGAGAGAGCCACAAAATTTGATTAACACAAGCCTATCCGATGTTATCCTGACGCCAAATGACTTCGAACAGGCGATAAATGACATGCCCATGCACTCTGCCCCAGGGCCAGACTCATGGAACTCTGTGTTCATCAAGAACTGCAAGAAGCCCCTATCACGAGCCTTTTCCATCCTATGGAGAGGGAGCATGGACACGGGGGTCGTCCCTCAGTTACTAAAAACAACAGACATAGCCCCACTCCACAAAGGGGGCAGTAAAGCAACAGCAAAGAACTACAGACCAATAGCACTAACATCCCATATCATGAAAGGGTCCTAAGAAGCAAGATCACCACCCATCTAGAAACCCATCAGTTACACAACCCAGGGCAACATGGGTTTAGAACAGGTCGCTCCTGTCTGTCTCAACTACTGGATCACTACGACAAGGTCCTAAATGCACTAGAAGACAAAAAGAATGCAGATGTAATATATACAGACTTTGCAAAAGCCTTCGACAAGTGTGACCATGGCGTAATAGCGCACAAAATGCGCGCTAAAGGAATAACAGGAAAAGTCGGTCGATGGATCTATAATTTCCTCACTAACAGAACACAGAGAGTAGTCGTCAACAGAGTAAAGTCCGAGGCAGCTACGGTGAAAAAGCTCTGTTCCACAAGGCACAGTACTAGCTCCCATCTTGTTCCTCATCCTCATATCCGACATAGACAAGGATGTCAGCCACAGCACCGTGTCTCCTTTGCAGATGACACCCGAATCTGCATGACAGTGTCTTCCATTGCAGACACTGCAAGGCTCCAGGCGGACATCAACCAAATCTTTGAGTGGGCTGCAGAAAACAATATGAAGTTCAACGATGAGAAATTTCAATACTCAGATATGGTAAACATGAGGAAATTAAATCTTCATCAGAGTACAAAACAAATTCTGGCCACAAAATAGAGCGAAACACCAACGTCAAAGACCTGGGAGTGATTATGTCGGAGGATCTCACCTTCAAGGACCATAACATTGTATCAATCGCATCTGCTAGAAAAATGACAGGATGGATAATGAGAACCTTCAAAACTAGGGAGGCCAAGCCATGATGACACTCTTCAGGTCACTTGTTCTATCTAGGCTGGATTATTGCTGCACTCTAACAGCACCTTTCAAGGCAGGTGAAATTGCCGACCTAGAAAATGTACAGAGAACTTTCACGGCGCGCATAACGGAGATAAACACCTCAATTACTGGGAGCGCTTGAGGTTTCTAAACCTGTATTCCCTGGAACGCAGGAGGGAGAGATACATGATTATATACACCTGGAAAATCCTAGAGGGACTAGTACCGAACTTGCACACGAAAATCACTCACTACGAAAGCAAAAGACTTGGCAGACGATGCACCATCCCCCCAATGAAAAGCAGGGGTGTCACTAGCACGTTAAGAGACCATACAATAAGTGTCAGGGGCCCGAGACTGTTCAACTGCCTCCCAGCACACATAAGGGGGATTACCAACAGACCCCTGGCAGTCTTCAAGCTGGCACTGGACAAGCACCTAAAGTCAGTTCCTGATCAGCCGGGCTGTGGCTCGTACGTTGGTTTGCGTGCAGCCAGCAGCAACAGCCTGGTTGATCAGGCGCTGATCCACCAGGAGGCCTGGTCACAGACCGGGCCGCGGGGGCGTTGACCCCCGAAACTCTCTCCAGGTAAACTCCAGGTAAACTATTGTTACCATCGTTACGATTAGGTCTGCCCTTACACATAGCTATGTGTGTCTTCCCTTGTTACACTGATAACAATAGTGCAAGTTAGCACGACAATCCCTTACATTATGATTTCCTAGACACCTGATACATCTAGCAAGCTCTTCCAATCTTTCCACTTTAACATCCCATGAATTATAGGCATTACAGTTCTTAGAGAAATGAGTACCGTTGCAGAAGATACAATCTCTCCTTTCTTTGCCTGACCTCTTATCAACTGGGCTACCCTTATTGTGGTACTTCCTCCTCTTGCTTGGAGGTGGAGAACCACTATAACTGGCACCTGTCACTTGATACGTGCCTACGTAACCCCGTGTAGTAGGTGGCTTAGGATTATTGATATTAGGATAAGGTTTCCCTTTGTGGAACTTGGCAGGTGCACTGGGGTCTGTAGACGTGGTATTCCTAGAGGTAATGGGTTGGCTGGTCTGCAGTTGGACAATTAGCTCTTGCAGTCCCACTCTTATTTCTTCCAACCTGAAGTAACCCTTGTGATATCTGTTAGATAACCACTCTATGGTCTTGTGGTTCAATTTATTCTGAATCAAGGCACTCAACAACCACTCTGCTCCCTCCAGATCATATTTATTACTCAAGGTCTTAAGAGTGCTTTCTAGTTTGATCCTAAACTGCTGTAAGCTGTTGCGGTTGTGATCTGGAGTCTTCAAATTAGCTACTAGGTCCAGCCTACTTTGCTCCAAGTTACCGTAAGTGACCTCCAACAAGTCAACGGCCTCACTATAGGAGTCATCTACATTTGGGAATGCTTGTATGAGAACATGCGCATCTCCCCTTACTTGTCCCTTTAAATAGCATAATTTGGTAACACTTGCAAGATCACTCCTATCATGTACGACTGCTTTAAAGATAGACCAAAACTCCTCCCAGTGTTCTCCCGGATTAAACACAGGCATACATAATTCTGGGAGTTTTGGCAGACGCCTCTGACTTTCCTTACTAGGTTGACCAACAACATTGTTTACACCCTTTACCTTCTCCAAAGCCTTAGTTTTGCAGGACACAATGTTGTCCTCCACTTCATAATGTTGATCCAGCAGTCGCTCCCTTTCAGCATCATCTGCACAATTCTCTAGCAGCTCTTTTTCATAGTCTTTAAACCACAATCTATATGACTCATGTCTATTTCCTAAGGCATCTAGGCATCTAGGTGTAGCTTTAATTCATCAGGGTTTACCGTTTCTTGTTTCATTAACTCCATACACTTCTTGTATGATTTAGTAACATGACCCTTCCGAGCTTGTAGTGACGCTTTCTTTGCTTTGGCATCCATGGACTTGCCAGTCGCACTAACTTCCTCAGACCCAGCCATGGTTAGGGAATTAATAATCACCCATTATACTACTTAAGTAGACGCCTTATAAGAGTAATTCTTGCACTTTACTCTTGTATAAATCCTAGCCACCCATGTGCTAGCAATTTATTGGGCTAATTATCATCCATCACACGATCGATTAAACTCGTGCACCCTACACCCACTTCCTTCAATCAGTCACTTAATTATTAAGTAATTAATTCAATTAATTTTTTCACTGATTGCATCCGGTTCACGAAGGACCAACGGGCAGATATGGAAAATTTTCTAGGGTGCTTACCTGTATGTACCTCAACATTATATACATACCAGTAATCTCATTGGGAGACAATCATATTGTTTACCGTAGTCACCCCGTGTAGACATGTGAGAAAACTTAACCACCCCTGGTCGCGCCAAGTGGTCCCCTCGACCTCACAATCTTATCCATATCTATCCGAGACCAGTATGGATTGGATAGCACCCACAAGTACGGTGCTACTAATTAATTGTGGACTGTATAGAATTATATTAATTAGCTGAATGAAGGGAAGGGGGTAGGATACACCTGGATACATCCATCAAGGAAAACATTTGTACATAATCCCACCACTTACCAGATGTTCTCTGGTGGTCCCTTGATGTAGCTGGATCACTCATAACCTATCTAATCACAACATAAACACAACTGGCCAGCCTAAGTTTGTTATAATTAGAAGGTTACTTAACTGTGGGTGATTGATACTCCTTATTTCTTCCATTCACCATCTCAGTTTCGATGTCCTGCTACACCGACACGGTTCTCATTCCAGCAGGACGAGGTATCCGCTGGTTTGTCCCGCCTTAAACGTCGTGACTCAAGGAGCTTCACTTTCCTCGTCTCGGGAGCAACGAGGTCTAACGTGTTCACTCGGAGCAAGACGACTTATTTCACTTCATGCATTCTCTTAACTTAGCGTTATTATCATTAATTACATTACAATTCACAAGACGATTTAATGGCTCATAATTATTATACACATTAGAGATCACTCCATTAAGATCTGAGACCGATGAGTGATGATTAAACCAAGGGTAATTTTCCTCGGGACACAGTCCAGGACGACGCGTCAGTCACCCACGGTCCTACCCTTATTCACTCAATTACCACTCTATTACCGTGGTCCCGTAAATCACGTTCCCTCACTCTCCACCAGGAACAGTTACGACACTTCCTATTACGAAATGAGGCCTATATTAATCCTTAGGCCGCCGTGAATGCCAATTTCGTGGTTCCATGCTTTTTCCCCGCTTCCTCTCCACCTTCAAAACAAACCCGCCACTCTCCCCCGCACATCCGCGCATGCGCCAAGGGAATTCTTGGTTCTACCCTATTTTCAAATACATTTTTGACTCATATCGGCACATAAAACACCTATTAGGCGCTATAGTTTCGGAAAATTAAAAATTTTCCACAGGTATCTTTATTAAGGAATATTTAAAATTTTAAAAAATGAAACGTTTCGCCACACAGTAGCTTCATCAGTCCATACAAAGGAGAATCTTGAAAAACAGGAGTAGAATGAGATATCTTAATAAAGATACCCAAGAGTTGCACATGTGTCTAATTTATCAATAATAATTCTGCCCTACACTTTACATGGTTTACACAAGACGACTTATTCCCCTGAATTCTTATTCTTTCTCTTATCTCATTTTCTTTATACACAGGAATTATGCTTGTTTTCTGCCCATTCTTAGGCACCTTACATTTTTTCATGCAAAAGTATACAACAATACTGAACAAATACACCAATCTCTCCAAAATTATATCCCCACCTGCTTTTAACATTTGTATTAATTTTCATTCCCTGGGCGTGTATGACCCCCAATGGGTTTACCCTTCTGCTTAAATATAACAGATAACAATGGAACATGTGTTCCCCACAGGTGTTGAGTGAAGCAGGTGTTTGGCAAAGAATGACAGTCACTCGGTTACTTTCCACCTCTTCTAACACCACACCACCAAACTCCTTCAATTTGGTGTATTATATTGAGTGTATATTATGTTATTTAGGCCCTAAATTTGGTTATTTACAATAGGTGAGGCACATATATGAAGTATAAATAATTATGTTGAACCCTTGAACTTGTAAGTTGAATCCTCGGACTTTAAAAATGAAACCTTGAACTGAAGTTGAAATACAGTGCGAGGTACTGAAAAATGGTAGGTGAGCGAGGGTTGGGAGTCGCCTACTACTTGGTGGTGGCCACAGTACTTGGTAACATCGTGTATGTGAGGTATGTACGAGAGGACACCCCAGCCGCACCCCAGCACCACCACAACCTGCTGAACAACCCCCAAGTAAGTGTGTTTAGTTATGCTTATCCCTCCGGTACAAAGGGAAACAGAAGCCCCAATCACCAAATAATAATAATAATAATAAATAACAGCCTTAATACAAATCTCTTAGCCTTCCTTGCAACAGGTGTCATCCCTAAGCCTCTCTGACATTCTGGAGCCGCCCCTGCACCTCCATGACTACCAGGGGAAGGGGTACCTTAATGCCGGTGAAGTGCTCTTCACTCTAGGAACTGGAGTTAACCTCCCCTTTCTTGGTTTAAACCTGATTACCTCCCTTTTCCAAGGCGTTAAAGGAGCCCATATACTTTAGCACCTGAACTCCTTTATTTTTCGTTCGATTTCTTTCATTTTTTTTTTTTTTGTATGTAAAGAAGCCCCTTTCCAATTTAATGTGACCAAGTTTCAATAAGATAGCTCAAAAAACAACTGAGAAAAAAAATATTTACTAATAATCATACATATTGCAAGGTCCTGTCGAAGTGGGACTTGGAGAAGCTGTTTTGGCATTATCTACGCATAAAATAATGCTAAACTGTATTTATCATGATTAGCTTTACTGTAATTTATCCTATCTTCATTCTTAAAAAAAAATAGTTTGTATGGTTTTGACATTCAGCCAAATATCTGACTTTTGCCCTCACAAAAATCAAAAACAAATTATGATATCTCAAAATGATTCTCACCAGCTTGTAAAACAATCTTTCCTTTATGTTGTTTGTTAATTTCATTGCATTCCTGCTATTATTAACGGCAGTAAGTCAATATATATGTGAGTAACTTACTTCAGAGATAATCTACGAAACAGCCGGACCACCGATTTTTTTTTCTTTTTTTTTCCGAGAAAATAGCATTTTTCTCAGTTTTATACTGTATTACGAATGTATATCATAGTTACCCATATCCGTTTTCTTTAATATAAGGACCCTGGAGATGATAAGAGGAGAATGGAAGCCCATCCCTAACTATAGGAATATTATATTTCCGAGGGAGCACTCGAAGAATATGCCATATATTATTCATTCTGGAGTATTTACCATATTTCTTTGTTATTTATATTGTTTATTATGTCATATTAGATCAATTGTGATAGATAAATAAGCCGTAGACGCGATAATAGCGTTATATTGAAGCATATTCCCCGGCTTTCCCGAGACTGGAATTTCTGATGACGTCAAGATGTTCCCAGAAGGTTTCTGATTGGCTGTAAGTCTACGTATAAGTCCCGCCCACTGTTTTATGATGCCAAATCGTCAATTATTATATTAGAAAGAATAATACAATAAATACACGAAAAAAAAATCGGAAAAAACATGAAAATTGAGGACAGGTGAGCAGACCTGCCGCGGGTGGTGACATCACCCTAGGTGTTTTAAATGACTATAATTCCTTGTAGGAATGTCGTAGAACAATGATTCTTGTACCTGTGTGTTGCCAGAGAGTTAAGTTATTTTTCTATATGATTAATTCAATTTGTGAATTTTTTCGATATTTTTTTTTTCGTTCGCGCTGGGCAAATGTATGCTCCCCCTTAGTAACCCCCTACATGTTTGGCGCTTCCCGATGAAAATATGATTAGAAAACCATGAATTAAGTTTTTTACACCATATAGAATCGCTTCTTTTTTATTATAATACCCCTCAAGGAAGGTTCCTTGATGTTGGTGAGGGGCTCTTGATTTAGGGAATTGGATCTGTGCTCCAGTTCCCCGAATTATGCCTGAATGCCTTCCACATCCCCCCCCCAGGCGCTGTATAATCCTCCGGGTTTAGCGCTTCCCCCTTGATTATAATAATAATAATTTTATTATAATAATACACCATAGAATTTACATACATGTACTTGTTTGACCCCCATAATATAACAACACTAAGCTATTATCCTACCCCAGCCAGTGCTGTATAACCCTTACGAGCTTAGCGCTTGTTTTATAATATTCAGTAGTGAATAAATTAATAAAAACTACATCAACTTATTTCAAAGCTGCTTTACCCATCGCCTTTACCCCCATCAACCCCTCCTCCATGCCTGCTTTCTGCTAGGTGAACTAGGGCAGTAGGTGTAAGGTGACATAAGTATCACCCAGTCTGGGAATTGAACCTGACTTCCTTCTGTTGTGAGCCGAGCGTTGTACCGTTGAGCTACAGATAGTTTCCAGAATCTTTAACTTTAATAGGAGAGGCTTGAATGTCCCTTTCTTCTAATCATCTGAATTAAGTGATTACATTGTAAATAACAATGTCACCGAAACTGCAGCTATGACTACACACGTTTCTTAATCGGCTCAAAGCGCTGTTTATTAGCTCGAGCGTCTATGGCGTATCACTAAAGAGGCTTCTTTAAATAGTACATTCTGTACTCACCTATTTGTACTCACCTATTTGTGGTTGCAGGGGTCGAGTCACAGCTCCTGGCCCCGCCTCTTCGCTGATTGCTACTAGGTCCTCTCTCTCCCTGCCCCATGAGCTCCATCATACCTCGCCTTAAAACTATGTATGGTTCCTGCCTCCACCACATCACTTTCTAGGCTATTCCATGGCCTGACTACTCTATGACTGAAGAAATACTTCCTAACATCCCTTTGATTCATCTGAGTCTTCAACTTCCAATTGTGACCTCTTGTGTCTGTGTCCCATCTCTGGAACATCCCGTCTTTGTCCACCTCGTCTATTCCGCGCAGTATTTTATATGTCGTTATCATGTCTCCCCTGACCCTCCTGGCCTCCAGTGTCGTCAGGCCGATTTCCCTCAACCTTTCTTCATAGGACAATCCCCGTAGCTCTGGGACTAGTCTTGTTGCAAACCTTTGCACTTTCTCTAATTTCTTGACGTGTGTGTGTGTTAGTTACCATTTTGTCCTAGGCACATGTCGATTAGACACTAGGCCTGTTGTATATGAGTACGTGTGTGTGTGTGAGTGTGTGAGTTACCATTGTGTGTGTGTGTGTGTGTGTGAGTTTTTGTATGAGTGTGTGTGTGTGTGTGTGTGTATGGGGGAGGTATGCGGGGAGATACTGTTAATACATACCAGTAATTCTGGGTTATAAAAAGCGATAATTGCTACTAGGGTCTAAAGCTTCAATAAGTGTCTGCACTTGTGTGTGTGTGTGTGTGTGTGTGTGTTGTGTGTGTGTGTGTGTGTGTGCAGATCTCTAACAGACTATCCCATGCTTGTGTGCACCTCGTCAAGGGAGGTTCCTTGATGCTGGTGAGGAGCTCTCATCTAGGGAACTGAATTTGTGCTCCCATTCCCTGAATTGAGCCTGAATGCCTTCCACCCCCCACAGGCGTTGTATAATCCCTATGGGTTTAGCGCTCCCCATAATTGTTTGCACCTCTACCAGACCATCCCATATTTATATGCATCGTGAACAGATCATCCCATGTGTATGTGTACCTCTCTTTTTCTCTAACATATCCCGTTGATTGTGTGCATCTCCAGCAGATTATCTTACGCTTGTATAAACCTGTAACAGATCCTTCCACATTTGCGTATACATCCAGTGGGCAATTACATCTTTGAACGTACAGGCCCCTTTCGCGCTTCATTTGACATTGCTTTTCATCTTAGGAGACGTACAAGCGACCCCAAGAAGCCGCCAACAACAAACATTCTCAAACTATCAAGCACACGCACCGACCTACCTACACCAGAAAGCGTGCCCCAGCCATCAAACATATTATGTACCCCCTTATCTTCGTGGGCGGACACCCTCGCTCAGGCACCACGCTCCTGCGCTCCATGTTGGACGCGCATGGTGACATACACTGCGGGGAGGAGACGCACATTGTCCCCAGAGTGGCTATGTTCTGGCACTCACTGACCAACACATCCGGGAACCACCACCGTATGTCTCAAGCCGGTTTCACCCTAGAGGTAAGACTGGTAAAATGGCTCTTCCTACCTTTTATCTCATTGTTTATGTAGAGAGCAAACCTGACTGCAAGATTTCGAAGCACCTTCCTCGAAGGGTCACAGGGATATAATAAAAAGAAAATAAGATGTGCATCAATAGCACAATATGCTGGCAACTGTGTGAATTAAGACAAGATGCAGTTTGTCAAACAGAATATTGTTTTATTTACATACATTTCATTTATTGAACGTTCCTATGTAACTGATAAGTCTAAGCTTCTCTGTTACATTTTATTGTACAGTATATGTATAGCATATATAGAATTACTGTATACGTGTATTGTACAGTACATACATGTATATTGTATAGTATATTTTATTGTACAGTAGTATATGTAATGTGGCAAGAGTAAACCCGTAGTCATGCAGCGCCTGGGGAAATATAAGGCAATTGGGTATAATCCAAGGAAAGGGAAGATAGGTCCAATTCTTTGGATCAAAAGCCCTTCATCTGCATCGATGCACCTCCATTAAAGGAGAGGCGCTTTGAGTGGTTCGTTCTTACTACAAGCGAAGATCGAGTCGCCACCACTTCTTGCGATGCCCACAGTGAATAGTAATGAATTTGTAGGACATCAGAAGTCAAGTCAACTCACAATGTACATATGTGCTTAATTTCATGTCCCCTCAAGGGAAATTCTTTCATGCTGGTGAGAGGCTCTTGATCTAAGGGACTGAACCTGTGATCCAGTTCCTTGAATCGAATCTGAATGCCTTCACCCCCCCCCCCTTGATGATGTATAACCGTTATGGGGGGTTAGTGCTCTCCCATGATTGTAATGATTTCCTGTGTGTTTTTAATATAGTTCTCTTTCCTATGATAATTTCTTTCCAATTTAGGTGGCCTGGTCTGAGATCGGGCAACGGAGGCGATGGTCAATGAAACCAATAACCATCTTTGTGGTCTAAGAATAAGGTTTGGCAATTGGGCTAGCCTAGTTTCACGCCCACAGACATCTTGTGCACAATTTATTACACTCGCGAAAATGTGAAATTTCATGCTGTATGAGTGCCTGTTTCATAAATTATCCCAAGCTGTTTTAAATGTGTGAGTGCAGGTAATGGATCGAGCAGTGGCCAAATTCTTGCTGAGGGTGATCATTAAGGACGGTTCCGGGGCCACCAGACTGTGTAACAAAGATCCTTTCGTCATGCTCACCGCCGTCTACCTCCACCGCCTCTTCCCCAAATCCAAGTTTATTTTCGTCATCCGCGACGGACGAGCAGTCATCCATTCCGTCATCAGCAGAGGGGTAATGTGTCACTGTGTACGTATGTATGTATGTGTGTGTGTGTGTGTGTGTGTGTGTGTGTGTGTGTGTGTGTGTGTGTGTGTGTGTGTGTGTTGTCAAGAGGGTCAGCCCCTTTCGTAGAATTCTGAGGCAAAATACTTAAAATTGTGTAAATAAGAAATGACATGGTATCATAAATTACAGCCAGTGTATGGCAATTTTTGCGTATGCATCAAGCCTATACGCCAAAGCCCTAGGCGACTGCTAACTGAGAGCTTGTGGTGTGAAGTGTAACTCCTTGATTTATTCAGGTTACGAGCCTGGTAGCTAGCGGTAAGTAGGTGCCTGGGTATTAGTCAACTGAGCTGTATAATCCTCCGGGTTTAGCGCTTCCCCTTGATTATAATAATAATAATAATAATAATAATTAGTCAACTGCAACACTATTACAATGAACAACATTTTTTTATAATAAGATACTCAATAACTTTTTCCAAGCCCCCATAACCCGTCTGTTAGTTAAAACAAACAAAAAGCGGATGGAGGTAAACCAGGATCGGAAACTTACACAGGTATATTACATTGGTGGTTGTCACACAATAATGTATATACGGCGTACTACATTCCAGTATTAACTCTAGCAAAAAAGGTTTCTTTGTCTTGGCTTATGACAACTGTAAACAGAGGTGTGAGCACCTGTGAGGTTCGTGTGTCACGTGTTTGTTTATCATAGGTGAGCATCATGGGTTTCAACGCAGCGTCAGAGGAGGAGAGCTTGAGGACATGGAGCGTGGCCACCTCCAGTATGTACCAGCAGTGTGAACAGTTGGGTCCCACCTCGTGCCTTCCAGTTTTCTATGAGCAACTTATCATCCACCCTAGGTAATGTGAAGGCCCAGGGATACGATACGAGAGAACAGGTAAGACCCTTGTGGGGATAGTGGAAGAATAGGTTGGTGAGAGGAAAATTGTGAGTGGAAGGGATAGTACCAGGGCTTAACCCAGTCGCTAGGCAGATAGTGGTTCAGGAGTCTTGGACGCGAAAAGTTTTTTAGTTTAATATGTTTATTACGCACCCCATACCCATCCTGTGGGCGGTAGTCAAAAGATTGCAGAGGTACATAATGGGTCCAGGGACTGGACCCCAAAGTTTTGAGAGCTGAACTAGGTACGAAGGTAATGAACTCAAGTTACAAATGTAATGAATCATATAAGTAAATTTACTTACGTTTATACATGGCTACAATCATGAACAAATTATAGAGTAATGAGCAATTCACACGTCCACACCCGGTCGCGGCAAGGAGTGCTGATAAACTGGCAGGGGATCACTGATACGCGACTTTGCAAGGTACTGGCGAGGGCTTGTATTCAAAAAAGGACATTCCCAGGGAACGATGATGGTGGAGAGAGAAAGGTAGTCAGAAGGAATGAAATAATAACATAAGTGAGAAACCAGATTCAGAGGTTTAATGGATGATTTAAAAAATATATATATTTTGTGTGAATTAAAATTAATGAAGAAAGAGAAACATACATATTTCATCAAAGACACGTGTACATATTCAAATATGCACACAGGCATACGCCCAAGAGCTAGAGCCCCGTGTGACGTAGGCGAAAATACATGTATACATTGTTGTTTCTCCTTCCCCATCCTGTTGTTGGTGATTCTACAACACTACTGCTTCTTCTCCAGGCAGGTGATGAGAGCTGTCCTGAAGTTCCTAGACCTACCATGGCGCGCAAGTGTCCTCCAACACCAGAAATTCATCGGTAGGGAAAATGGAAGAATCTCACTAAATCCGTAAGTTCCTTCACTGTTATAAACCACTCATTGTATTTAGTCTTTTATCTCTCCTCCTCCCTCTGCACCATTCTAAGTCTGAATACGTAGTCCACAAAATATATCAGTTTTTAATGCTGTCCTCGAATGTTTCTCTATCATGTTTCTGTTCGTGATTCACTATTTTCATATATCTTATTTCCGGGGAAACGCTAGACCAGTAAGGAACATGCAGAACCTATCTGTATTATAATACTTTTACTTTCTCCAGTATTTTTACACGAATTTCTAAATACTAGGTATTTTATCTATGACTCTCCTGTTCCGCATTTTTTTATTAATATATCTAGCGTTATGCAGCACATACTTATTATTTATGTGAAATGTTAAACCCATGTGGGAGTGGTAAAGGCTTGATCCTCAGTCTGCTGATGTGGAGATGGCCACTAAAAATTATTATGAGAAATTACCTGCATGAGAATTACAGGGTATTACCTGAATTATTACGTGCAAGTAATTTGGGCGAGTTAAGTGGGACTCAGTCACAGTAGGTAGCAGAACTGTCACTCCTCGATGCCCACTCCAATACCATTCCCACAAAAAGCTAGATCTGACATTAAATTAAAAAATACAATATTAAAACCAGCTACTCTTGTAAATTAAAATTGTGTGGACTGTATATTTGAGTTTACTTGCTGGGTATACAAAATATAACTATTAGTACAATATATATAATACAATGGTGTTATTAGAAAAGAAATTCATATTACCACTTACCATTTAATTACTGGATCACAATTTTTATTTGTAACACACCCTAACGCTACTCCAGTAGCTAGAATTTACAATGGCCAATGTAAAACTACTATACATTATCGGAAGCGTCACTTAGCTAAGGTATGCTGCTGGGAAGAATCGGAGTCCCCTATTTTTCCGCCCTTGTAGCCGAATTGTAAAGGTTTTCCACACTAACCCAGTTCTTCAGTGGGAACGTGTCAGCATTTCCTAAATTACGGATTGAGTTTGATACATACCAACTGAACTTCGATGATGCCTGATTACTTTGCACAACTAACAGATCAGCGTTCGCCCATTCAGTTTCACTATGGTGTCCTTCCCCCTGTATCATTCCACGGCCGCTGCATACCCTCCTTCACACAAAATTTCTCGAAGGGTCAAATCAGCATCATTTTAATACACAATTATTATATTCAAATTTATACCTGCTGAATTTGGGAAAATTTAAAGTTTTCCACAGCCACCATAATGAACATGATGATTTCCGCATTGTAGGCTGGAGAAATCAACAAGCCAAGTACAGCAGGCCAGGTACACGGAGGCCCTCACTTCCTGGGTGGGACGTCTTCCCTTTCACTTCCTGCAAGATATGAACGTCTTGGCTCCCATGCTCGCCGTCCTGGGCTACGATCCTCACGCCAACCCTCCACAGTACCATAAATTGACCTACACCTGGGGTCAAAAGCCCCTAAATATGACTTCCGCCGATCGTCACTCCGTCAGGAGGTTTTTCAGCGCCCTGTACCACAGAGCAAATGCCAACACAAAACTGATTCACTAACGAGCAGCCTTTTTCCAGCAGTGACAAATCAGCCAGGATATGATGTCTATATGGTCTGAGGGCTATAAGTAGCAATAGCTTGATTGATCAGACGGTCACAGGTCGGGCTGCGGGAATAGAATTTGACACTTGTGATGAATGGTTTGAAAAACAGACAAGTTGAAGATTGAGACACGTATGCAACATATGGGAATCTTTATTCAGGAAACGTTTCGCCACACAGTGGCTTCATCAGTCCAATACAAAGTAGAAAGGCGTAAGGAGAGGAGGAGTTTGAGGTAATCAGTCCCTCAGCCTGGAGTCGATGTGTTCAGTCCATCAGTCTTGTAGAATGTACAGCATAGGGCCGTAGACGTGGCTTATATACTGTAGTGAGGTGAGGCGAAGCAGGAGGTGGGGGTCATAATGGTACCATCCATTAGTCGAAGTAGGTCTTCGTCCAAAGGCTGGACAAGTGTTGAAGAATTCTTTGTAACAAGATCCCATGATGCTGCAGTGTCTGACAGTTGTGATGAATGGTTTGAAAAACCGACAAGTTGAAGATTGAGACACGTATGCAACATATGGGAATCTTTATTCAGGAAACGATGGTACCCCACCTCCTCCTGCTTCGTCTCACCTCACTACAATATATAAGCCACGTCTACGGCCCTATGCTGTACATTCTACAAGATTGATGGACTGAACACATCGACTCCAGGCTGAGGGACTGATTACCTCAAACTCCTCCTCTCCTTACGAATTTCTACTTTGTATTGGACTGATGAAGCCACTGTGTGGCGAAACGTTTCCTGAATAAAGATTCCCATATGTTGCATACGTGTCTCAATCTTCAGAATTTGACACTGCTTGGAATTTACCTGGAGAGGATTTCGGGGGTCAATGCCCCCGTGGCCCGGTCTGAGACCAGCCCTCAGTTTGTTGATAAAGAAAGTGAAGTGCAATTTAGGAAACTTTGATATTCACAACCTTTCTCCTTTATTAAAGTACTTTTTATTTTTAAGTCAGGAGAGATATCTGAATGGAGACAATAGTGTGTGTGGAGGAGAGGAGAGTAAGATGAAGAAGGATAGCGGTGACGCTATGCTAGAGATGATATGCCAAGGGTTTCGCCAAGTGAAAGTTCCATTTGTTTTGGACACTTCTATTAAAAATCATATATTTCTCTCCTTGATGACTAGTTCGACTTCTGTCCATTATGTCATGTGATAATGCAAAATATGACGTATAACACTCATAATTAATGTTGTATCATCTAGAGGCGTATTTATATTCAATAATATGTGTTGCCAGGTCTGGGGCAGTCTTGCTAACGTAAATCTTACCAAAATCTCAGCAAGGAATTTTGTAAATTATCGATGTTCACTGTTTTCAGTGAGGCCTTTGTGTCTGGTCAGAGTCAGTTGCAGCAGATGTAATAAATGCTCCTTACTGTTGATTTGGCTAAATAATAATAATAATAATAATAATAATAATAATTATTATTATTATGGAAAGCGCTAAACACGTAGGGGTCATAAGGCGCCTTGGGAATGAGGGACAATCGGGTTCGATCCAAGGAAAACAAAAAGAACAGCCCAAATTCCTTGGGTCAAGAGCCTTCCTCTCCGACATCAAAGCTGGAGAGGGACTGAAACACACCGAGAGGTTAGTTACTGGGGTGTAGAGCCTATCGATTACGACAAACAAATAAACTTTATTTCTCTGTGCAGTTTACATGTAATAAAATATTGTTTAGCACTAAAGAAAGCTACAAGCATTCATGTGCATTTCGGTCATGAGGGCTGCAAAGTAACCATTTCACCGCCAGGCAAGAATACGTTAATCCCTAAAATGCGGAGTAAAGGAAAAACTCAGCTTATATACGCAGAGAGACATACACCTCTCAGTGTATATCAGCAAATATACGCTTAGAGACACCTCTCAGTGTATATCAGCATATATACGCTTAGACACCTCTCAGTGTATATATCCTGTGACTGAGAGGTGTATATGTCTCTCAGCATATATATGCTCCGGGTATTATTTACTAATGAATGGGTGACATGCAGCCTTAATGACCTTCGTGTAGGCGATAGGCTTTAAACCCAATCAGTCAACTGGCCTAGGATAGCAACCCTCTTACTGGCCACTCTTATATACATGTACTTCAACCTAGTTTTATTTCTGGGATGCCCAGTAGTAGCTGGATATTGATGCGACTCCGATCATTTTATTGTCAAGCCTATCAACTACACAAGGGTCATTAACTCTGCATGTCAACTGTACACTATCACTCAAGGCTCCAGTATAGGTATTATAGTAAACTCTAAGTGTATATACTATAAACCGATATATATATATATATATATATATATATATATATATATATATATGCATGCCTCTTTGTATATACTGCTGCTCTCAGTGCACACATACCAAGAGAGAGATACTCTTCAAAATACATACAAAGTTAATATATAAAATAAAGATTTTAATTTGTGTGCAAAATTAACATGTCTGTGGGTTACCAACGTCAGTTTTATTAATATGTAAAATCACATCAAATTTATATCTTGATAATTATTGCAGGCGACGGTAGCGTAAATTTATAAGTTGCCGAATTATAATTATATAAAAGTGTCTTCACTTATTTAGGATGATTGTAACCTGAATAATTAACGATATAACTGAAGTGGCTCGGACATTAAGAGAGGGAGAACAAAATAGAATGACTTGGAGGGTGTATAAATCTGTAGTGGAAGGAAGGCGGGGGTAGGGGTCAGTCTAGGATAGGTTGGAGGTTAGATTTTGCCACCGAAGTGGCTAGTTTATTGTGCACCCCATATCCATCCTGTGGAGGGTAGCGCGAGAGCATATGGATACACAAAAGGCCTAGGAACTAGGCCCCAAAGGGTTAACAGGAATACATATGGATTTATATCTACATATCTATAGTTCACTTATCTGTTACAAGCAAATTTAGGAAATTTGCTTAGTATATCTGGTATCTTATTTTCATTAATAAGATATCTTGACATGTCACATAGGTTATTATACTGTCTGTCTCTGTATTCCTCAATAAGTGGACAATTAAGCACATAGTGTTCAAGAGAGTGACCATATGCCTGATCACATAATTTACATTTAGTTTGATCATCATCTGTGTGTCTGCCAAACTGCCAGAAGTACTTATAACCAAGCCTAAGCCTGGCCACTACAACATCAGTCAGTACTTGTAACCAAGCCTAAGCCTGGCCACTACAACATCAGTCAGTACTTGTAACCAAGCCTAAGCCTGGCCACTATAACATCAGTCAGTGTTCACATTGCAAGTTGCTCCATAAACATACTTATCTACGTTCATGTTATCATAGTGGGTTATAGATCTACTCAGGCTTCTAACTGCATTCCTATAACAATCATTTTCATTATTTACTTCTCTCCTAATATTATTCCTAATGCTAGACACAGTTATACCAAAGTTATATTCTACATTCTCCTTCTGGGTACTCTTCTTGGCTAACATATCAATTTTATCATGGAGTAATCCAATGTGTGATGGGATCCATAGCAATTGTACATTAATTCCTTTGTCCCTAATTTTTGAGTATCTATACCTGGCTTCTCCAATGAGCATGTTGTTGGAGTCATTATATGAGTCAAGAGCCTTCAATGATGACATAGAATCAGTAATGATGATAGAGTCAAGCTCAGTGTCATAGGTTAGCTTTAGCGCCATTAGGATTGCAAACAATTCAGTTTGCAGTGTAGACGCCCAGTTGTTAATTCTTATGCCTAACTCAACAAATTTATTATCGTTCTAAACTAGGGAGGTGGCAACAAGAGCAGATGCAGCCCTGCCAGAAGACTCCTGTTTAGATCCATCAGTGTATATAACTTGTGATAACTTATTACTACCAGCTAGGTAAGAAATTTCTTCTTGAGCAGTTGCTCTAACAAGAGATTTAAGGAAGGGATTACTAGCAATGAGCTTCTTGGGAGGGACTTGTAGGTATGTGATATTAAATGAACACATCTTCCACGGAGGGGTGAAATGCTCTTGTTGCCTACAGTGATACAGTTCATGCAGGTTATAAAACTTAATGCAATTGCACGTTTTCACAATCCATTTAGATCTGTGTGTATTTACCTCTAGACACTTGGTAAGACTCATTGTGACAGTGTCTGGTTCGTTTCTCAACATTCTAATACCGAGTACAGTGTTAATCTCAACAATCCTATCACTGATACTAGAAATACCAAGCTCCTTTCTCATGTAAGAACTTTTGTAGATCTGGGACAGCCAAGAATAATCCTGAGAGCTTCATTTTGCATTAACTCCAAGGGTCGGAGAGAACTTTCTCTAGCTAATATCAACATGGGAGCAGCATAATCAATTAAGGACCTAACATATGCTATGTACATCATTCTCACGATTCTCACATTAGCACCATAGTTGGGATTGTAGCCAGCAGCCCCCTCAAGGAAGGTTCCTTGATGTTGGTGAGGGGCTCTTGATTTAGGGAATTGGATCTGTGCTCCAGTTCCCCGAATTAAGCCTGAATGCCTTCCACATCCCCCTCCCAGGCGCTGTATAATCCTCCGGGTTTAGCGCTTCCCCCTTGATTTTAGTAATAATAGTAGCCATCAACAGCTTTGAGAGCATTTAGCCTAGCTTTGCATTTCTTGTTTAGTAGGGGGTAAAGGAGGTTTTGTGTACGAAGGGCTTGGAATTCCAGCAAGCGTGAATGAGTGTGTTAGAGAGGAACGAGTGAAGACAAATGGTTTTTATGACTTTACGTGCTGTTAAGATAAGATTTCGTTCGGATTTTTAACCCCGGAGGGTTAGCCACCCAGGATAACCCAAGAAAGTGCGTCATCGAGGACTATCTAACTTATTTCCATTGGGGTCCTCAATCTTATCCCCCAAGATGCGACCCACACCAGTCGACTAACACCCAGGTACCTATTTGCTGCTAGGTGAACCGGACAACAGGTGTAAGGAAACGTGTCGAAATGTTTCCACCCGCCGGGAATCGAACCTGGGCCCTCCGTGAAGCGGGAGCTTTAGCCACCAGGCCACCGGGCCACCACCATGTAGGGGTGTGAACAAGGTAATATCTGTGAAGAGATTCAGGGTAACCGGTTAGTTCTGGAGGTGGGAGGTACATTTCCTGCGCTCCGAATGAGGGGTGTTAATATGTTGCATTTTTTTTAACTGTTGTGTAGGCTCGCCTCTAGCACAATGATGGAGTGAATGATGAAAGTGTTTCTTCTTTTTCGGGGCCCCCCTGCCTCGGTGGGAAACGGGCGATGTGTTAAAAAAAAAGTAATGGGTCCTGCGCAGTAGGGAAGAGCGAGACCGCATTGGAACGATCTTGTTAGTGGATGACCATATTGTGAGACGTAACTAAGTGGTTTAACTTTCCATCACGATATCCTCATCATCATTAGTAATAATAATAATGACCAGACAAGGCAAATGGATACCCAACCCACGATACAAAGAAGGAACTTTAAACGACATTTCGAATCGACATGATAATGGTCCATGGCGCGCCGAAACGTTAAAAATTTCCTCTCCGAATTGTGGGTTAGCTGTGAATTACTCAAGCTATGATATTGTGACATACTTCAAAACGCAAATAAATGGGATATACATTAATAACGCTCACATAAGAGAGAAAAAGAGCTTATGGCGATGTTTCGGTCCGACTTGGACCATTTTTCATTTGTAAATTTGAAAGTTGATTATAATAATAATAATATTTCATTTGTAAATGGTCTAAGTTGGACCGAAACATCGTCGTAAGCTCTTTCTCTCTCTCTCTCTCTCTCTCTCTCTCTCTCTCTCTCTCTCTCTCTCTCTCTCTCTCTCTCTCTCTCTCTCTCTCTCTCTCTCTCTCTCTCCCTCTCTCTCTCCCTCTCTCTCTCTCCCTCCCTCTCTCCCCCCTATGTATGGATTATTTGTGTATTCTAGTCACAGTATTGTACCTGTTTATTTTATATGGGATAAAGTATTAAGGGCAATTATAGATCTGGCTTAGTGTTTGGATCAGTAAGTTCTTATTTTAATGCAGGTAATTGATCAAAATACAAACATCGCTATGATACAAAGAAATGTACGTGGAGGTGTTTTAATCAATGATATCATTCATAGAGTGTAGGGAATTTAAAAATGGTGAAAATCAGTAAAAGTCGAAATCACTCGTCTCGTGTTCCATCACGTTGGATGGTTTTCCTGTCATTTACCATCACTCAGTTTAGTTTAATATGTTTATTATGCACCCCATACCCATCCTGTGGGTGGTAGTCAAAAGATTTCAGAGGTACATAATTGGTCCAGGGACTGGACTCCAAAGTTTTGATAGCTGAGCAAGTTACAGAGGTAATGAATTCACAATTTACAAAGGTAATGAACTCACAAATTACAAAAGTAATGAACTCCAGGTAGGTCTAGTCACAATCATGACAAGTTACAAAGGTATTTACAGATTACAGAGGTACGTAATGGGTCCAGGGACTGGGCCCCAAAGTTTTGATGGCTGAACTAGGTACAAGGTAATGAACTCACAAGTTACAAACGTAATGAATACTGTAAGAATAGTTACTTACGTTTATACATGGCTACAATCATGAACAAATTATAGTGTAATGAGCAATTCACACTTCCACACCCGGTCACAACTGTAATGAGTTATTGGTACCATCACTCAGCATGGTTTATTGTCAATACTTCACTCAGGATGCTTTTCATGTCGACTCCATCACACAGGAGTGCTTTCCCGTAATACTCCATCACACAGGAGTGCTTTCCCGTAATACTCCATCACACAGGAGTGCTTTCCTGTAATACTCCATCACACAGGAGTGTTTTCCCGTAATACTCCATCACACAGGAGTGCTTTCCTGTAATACTCCATCACTCAGGAATGCTTTCCCGTAATACTCCATCACACAGGAGTGCTTTCCCGTAATACTCCATCGCACAGGAGTGCTTTCCTGTAATACTCCATCACTCAGGAATGCTTTTCCGTAATACTCCATCACACAGGAGTGCTTTCCTGTAATACTCCACACAGGAGTGCTTTCCCGTAATACTCCATCACTCAGGAGTGCTTTCCCGTAATACTCCATCACACAGGAGTGCTTTCCTGTAATACTCCATCACACAGGAGTGCTTTCCCGTAATACTCCATCACACAGGAGTGCTTTCCTGTAATACTCCATCACACAGGAGTGCTTTCCCGTAATACTCCATCACGTTGCAATGTTTTCCTGTCAAACTAGGCGATGATATATTTTTTTTTATCAACATTTTTCCTAGTCCAAATTAAACCCATCGCTGAAGATATCTATTAATAAATAACAAATAATCTTCATTTTTTATACCTAATTATCCGCTACTACCAGCCATGGTTCGTGGATGAATATGATAAATGCTCTCGATACATTCGTGGAAAAAAAATTAACAATATCGTGGCTAAAACAAGTCGTAGCTAACAGAGACTGGAAATGGAAACTAGTCAGAAGTTTCGGCTAGGTCTAGGTTAATTTTCAATTTGTCATTTGCTAGGAACTGAAAAACTGCAGTCCGTCTCCTGGATTAGACCTGTCCTTTAAAAACACGACTAAGTCTACATTAACCACTAAGTGTTCAGCAACACCTACGTCTTCAGCACCACTGACACAAAGATCAGCAGTCTTCAGCGTATGGGAGGACTCAAATCCACATTGAAATATTAGCATTTTCTACTGAAGACGACTACATTTCACCCAAGAGCTGCACCGAGTAACTTTCCAATTCGTCCTTAGATCTTGCTTTGAAAATTGCTAAATAATGCCAGTTTAGTGGTGTAACAGTGTATCAGAGTCTGGACACTGTGACGTCGTTTTCACTGGCGTCATTGTCGTGGTTAGACACTGACAAATGGTGCGACGTCAACGATGGGAAAAACGACATGAAGGCGCTGGGCCTGCTGCTCCTGGAGATAGTCGATGTTGATCTGTGAGAGGATAATGTGGAGATGTTTGAGTCAGGACGAGAGGGAAAGTAGGGTAATATGGACGGAGCCTCAGATAGTGTGGAGGAAGAGGAAGATATGGAGAGGTGTGTTGAGCGGTGGCAGGGAGATAGCGACGAGTTGGATGACCTGTTGCTCACTAACGAGGATAACCTTGTTCGCAGCCTGTGGAAGAGTGCAAGGGTGAGTTAGCATGGTTGTATTTACAAAACTGAAAATGTCCACTGTGTTTTATTTAAACTTAGTCTTACTAAACATTATATTTTATATCATGCGCTAAACTCGTTTGGGCAATTCAGCGCATGGAATATTGAAGGCTTGATCCTCCGTCAGACACTTCAAGCCCATTACCTCAGGCTTAGCTCCTAACACTAGTGACCCGTCTTACTAAGCATAGGCTCTAAAAAACAACTCCGATTATTTCAAACGAGTGAAGAGGAATAGGGAGATGAACAATACGTGCAAACTAGGATAATGATGGGAGACAGACTCCCAAAAAGATGATTGACCCATTGACCTGACAAATGAACCAAACTCTTATCCCTATGCCTGTTTTCCTTAGCAAGAATATTTCTCATAGGAAAGCAAATTACGACCTAGGAATTTCATGAAAGTAGTGCCCCAAACCTGACGCTCAATATCCAACCGATGCCATGTAAGGTACTAGTGTCCATAATCACTCACTGCCTTAGTATCGCATACTGACAAATTTACAAATTCACATAATAAGCTATCTGAACTAAACTTATCCTCAACAAACTTTGTTCTTAAGTATAATTCTGCTGTTCAACATTAATTAGTATAATTCTGCTGCTTCGATAATTGATAAGTACATATACTGCCTTAACAAACCTCTTAAGTACATTTCTGCCTAAAAAATCATTGCTTATAACTCACTTCTAATGTATTTTAACATAGGAATATGCATGTTAATAATGATAATATTCACCGGTTCTTCAAACTATACCTGTATTTCAAGATGCCATAGGGTAAACCAGCTCGATTCTTTCTCTCTCTCTGTCTCTCTGTCTCTGTCTCTCTCTGTCTGTCTGTCTGTCTCTGTCTCTCTCTGTCTCTCTCTCTCTCTCTCTCTCTCTCTCTCTCTCTCTCTCTCTCTCTCTCTCTCTCTCTCTCTCTCTCTCTCTCTCTCTCCTCTCTCTCTCTCTCTCTCTCTCTCTCTCTCTCTCACACACACACACACACACACATACATCGTGAAGGGTTATTATTATTATTATTATTATTATTATTATTATTATTATTATTGTACTCAGGTGGAAGCGTAAAGCCCATAGGGTCATGCAGCGCCTTGGGAAGAATAGGAAGCAATCAGGCTCGATCCTAGGGAAGGGAGGGCAAGTCCCATTCTTTGCATTATGATTCCCTCACCGGCAGCCACAGATGCCGGTGACTACAAAACAGACACGTAGGCTTATAGAGTACCCACCCTGACGGTCCTGGCTGTGACGAGCCTCGGTTGGAAGAGAGCATATTAGGCCTACTGGTGGTGGAGGAACTTATGGTGGACCAGGTGGATGTAGGCTGCAGCAACCAATCCGCCCCACTGGGTGAGAATCTACGAGAGAGCTCAAGCGCCAACTCCAGGTCAGGATCCTGGAAAAGGACAAGAGAATACAAACCTATTTGTGTTTACCTGGTTGGAAAGTTCACAGGTAATCTGATAAGCGATGGGGTTACTAGCTGATAGGAGACACTTGTCCTGTTTCCTGACTAACAAAACACACTACCGTCTTACTCTGTGTTGATCCTTTGTTGTGTATGTGAGGTGGAGAACCTACCAGCATATCCTATGATGTGCTCTTTATTCTTTTTTTTTACCGAGTGGACCTGTAAACCAGCGGAAAGTGTCTGTCAAAATGACCTGTGTTTGTGTGTGTGTCAGTACTCGCTTGTTTGTGGTTGCAGGCATCGATTCGAATCTCCTAGCTCCGCCTCTTCACTAATAGCTATTATGTCCACTCTCTCCCTGCTCCAAGAGCCTTATGTCACCTCTTCTTATAGCTATGTAGGGATCCTCCCTCTACTTCTTCACTCTCCAGATTGTTCCACTTCCTGACAGGTCTAAGGCTGAAGAAATGCTTCAGAACATCCCTGTGGCTCATATGAGTTTTTCACTTCCAGTTGTGATCCCTTGTTTGTGTCCTAACTCTGAAACATTCTGGCCCTGCCCACCTTGTCAGTTCCTCTCAGTATTTTATACATTGTTATCATGTCCCTCCTTCCTCCAGTGTCGTCAAGTTCAGTTCCCTTAACCTCTCCTCGTGCGACATACCCCTTAGCTCTGGGATGTAGTTGTGTACTCACCTATTTGTGGTTGCAGGTGTGTGCCGCTAGTAGCAATCTTCAATAATTCTGTCGAAACAAGGCAATTGCCTGATACGTGGAAGACAGCACCTGCTGTTCCAATTTTTAAGAGACAGACGGGCAGCATTAAACTACAGACTAATGTCGCTGATATCTATAGTATGTAAAAGTCGTGGAGAAGATTCAGAGCTCCTGACCCCTGTGTGTGCGTGTACTCGCCTAGTTGTACTCACCTAGTTGTGGCTCTGGGGTCGAGTCACAGCTCCTGGCCCTGCCTCTTCACTGGTCGCTATTGGGTCACTCTCCTTGAACCATGAGCTTTATCATACCTCTGGTTAAAATTATGTATGGATCCTGCCTCCACTACATCGCTTCTCAAACTATTCCACTTCCTGACTACTCTGTGACTGAAGAAATACTTCCTAACATCCCTGTCATTCAGCTGTGTCTTCAGCTTCCGACTGTGTCCCCTTGTTGATGTGTCTCATCTCTGGAGCATCTTGTCTTTGTTCACCTTGTCAAGTCTCAGTATTTTAAATGTCGTTATCATGTCCCCCCTATTTCTCCTGTCCTCCAGTGTCGTCAGGTCAATTTCCCTTAACCTCTCCTCGTAGGACATACCCCTTAGCTCTGGGACTAGTCTTGTTGCAAACCTTTGCACTTTCTCTAGTTTCTTTACGTGCTTGGCTAGGTGTGAATTCCAAACTGGTGCCGCATATTCCAATATGGGCCTAACGTACACAGTGTACAGGGTCCTGAACGATTTCTTATTAAGATGTCGGAATGCTGTTCTGAGGTTTGCTAGGCTCCCATATGCTGCAGCAGTTATTTGGCTGATGTGCGCCTCAGGAGATGTGCCTGGTGTTATACTCACCCCAAGATCTTTTTCCTTGAGTGAAGTTTGTAGTCTCTGGTCCCCTAGACTGTACTCCATCTGCGGTCTTCTTTGCCCTTCCCCAGTCTTCATGACTTTGCAGCCAGTTGCTGGAATAGGTCTGCAGCCTGTCCAAATCCCTTTGTAGTTCTGCCTGGTCTTCGTCCGAATGAATTCTTCTCATCAACTTCACATCATCTGCAAACAGGGACACTTCGGAGTCCATTCCTTCCGTAATGTCGTTCACAAATACCAGGAACAGCACTGGTCCTAAGACTGACCCCTGTGGGACCCCCATTCGTCACAGGTGCCCACTCTGGCACCTCGCCAAGTACCATGACTCGCTGCTGTCTTCCTGACAGGTATTCCCTGATCCATTATAGTGCCTTCCCTGTTATCCCTGCCTGGTCCTCCAGTTTTTACACTAATCTCTTGTGTGGAACTGTGTCAAACGCCTTCTTGCAGTCCAAGAAAATGCAGTCTACCCACCCCTCTCTCTATTGTCTTAGTGCTGTCACCTTGTCATAGAACTCCAGTAGGTTTGTGACACAGGATTTCCCACCCCTGAAACCATGTTGGCTGCTGTTGATGAGATCATTCCTTTCTAGGTGTTCCACCACTCTTCTCCTGATAATCTTCTCCATGAAAAAGCGTCCTTCCTCCAAAATTTGCACCAGTCAACTATAGTGATAATATAGCATTTATTGTGGTGGAGAAGAAAAAAAAAATAGAGAAGCTAGATACAGCGATTGATAAACAAGGGTGGAGGTCGACCGTTCGTCATTGTAGGAGTGCCAGCAGTCACAGGCTCTTCAACACGCAAGTTATACTTTTGTATCAATCAAATCACATATTACTCGGGTAGATAATTTCCAGTAGATCCTTCATGTGTTAGCTCAAATCACCGACCAGTATGGTTTAAATAAGTGACCCACTGATCAGATCAGATAGACTGGTCCGAACCCTTGACTGGTCCGAACCCTGGACTGGTTTCAAACGGTTTCGTTGTGCACCACCTAGCAGGTTATTAATAGAATATTCAAGAGGTTGCTAGTAGAATTGCAGTAAATCAACCATTCAAATCATTATGAAGCTGTGTGTAGTCTGTGGTCAGTCAAACAAACGGGCTTCCACATGCATAAATTGTCATTTTTGTGGAAATTGGTGTCACGCCCCTTGTGCAGATATCCAAGAACTAGCTACAAGCAGTATTAAAACAGGGAAGTGTTTTTGGGTATGCCCCAAAAGAGATAAATCTGTGGACTAAAATCACAAGGGTATTAAAAGAGGTCAACATCAAAGCTGCTTTCATAGAAAACCTGGAAGCTTTCTACAACAGATGGGAACATAAAAAGTCCGGGCTGAATGGTACTGCCCTTGATACTGGCCATGTAGTCAGAAACTGTAAGGCTGGAGATGATGTCCTGGTAGTCAGTAAATGGGGGGCTGATAGTGCTGTCCTGGGAGACAGTAATGGGGAAGCTGGAGGTGCTGTCCTGGAGACAGTAATGGTGAAGCTAGAGGTGCTGTCCTGGGAGACAGTAATGGTGAAGCTGGAGATGCTGTCCTGGGAGACAGTAATGGGGAAGCTGGAGATGCTGTCCTGGGAGACAGTAATGGTGAAGCTGGAGATTTTGTCCAGGTAGTCGGGAATTATACGCAGGAAGGAATACATATAAATGACCTCATAGGGGACAGGAGCCATAGTAGGGAAACAAGTGTAGTCAAAGATAAGATAAAACCAATATTGCAAACTAGAAATACCGCAGGAAATAGCAAACAAGAGGACTCCACTAGCAATAGTGAGGATATATTACCAAAAACAACTGGTGGGAGCTCCATTGTTGGTGCTAGAAGTAAGACAGGGAAACATGCACCAACAGGGAATACAGTCACAGAAACCCAAGGCAAACGGAAACCAAGCCTGTGCACATACTATGCACTCGGTATCTGCTGGCATGGGAAATCTGGAAAACAGAGGGACGTGCAACTATGACCACCCAGGAAATGCCATGCCCATATGACAACAGGAAATGCAAACTCCCTTACTGTAAGCTTTTCACCCTGAACTGTGTACCTCTTCAGTACAGGAAAGACTGTGCTATAACTTAAATTGCCAGGCATACCATCTAAAGGGACAAAAAGATACAAAACATCCAGGCCATGGGAAAACCTGGGTAGCCACAGCCACTCAAGAGGGAGAGGTTTTTTAGTGCCAGGAAAGGAAAAAAAACTGGCAGAAATGGCAGAAATCGTACACCAAATCCAGTCATTCCTGGAGTGGAACCACAGTCGATGGCCTCCACTCCAAACCAACAGATACAGATACTAATGCCGAAAAAAAATCCCCCCCCAGTACCAACAATACCACCAGTCCGATAACATTCTTCTTTGCAAATATACAGGGTCTAAAGCCAGCAACAAACAACAAAATACCTTTCATCCGTGGACTGCTTGCAGAGGCAAAGGCAATGTTCGCGGCTTTCACTGAGACCCACATAAAGGATCACTTGGACAACGAAATATGGATCCCAGGTTGCAACCTATACAGATGTACAGAGTGAACAGGCAAAAGGGGGGGTTGGCCTGTACATTGCAGAGTCACTTGTTTGCACAGAACTGCTAAATGCCTCAAATGATGTAGTGGAAGTTTTAGCAGTAAAGGTCGAGAACCAAAACCTAGTCTTTGTGATAGTCTACAAGCCTCCGGATGCAACATCCCAGCAATTCCAGGAACAGCTGTTAAAAATTGACCACTGTCTGGAAAACCTTCCAGCTCCTGCACCCAACATCTTGCTCCTGGGGGATTTCAACTTAAGGCACCTAAAATGGAGGAATATAGCAAATAATATTGTTGCAGTAATAACACCAGGAGGCAGCTCTGATGAAAACTCACACTCACGCGAGCTTTTAAATCTCTGCACAAAATTCAATTTAAACCAGCAAATAATAGAGCCTACTAGACTGGAGAATACACTAGACCTCATCTTCACTAACAATGATGATCTGATAAGAACTATCACCATATCAAAAACAATATACTCAGATCACAACATAATTGAGGTTCAGTCATGTATGCGCGGAGCCCCAGACCGCCATAATGAGATTAGTCACGAGGGAGCATTCCCCAAATTCAACTTCAATAACAAAAACATAAAGTGGGACCAAGTAAACCAAGTCCTAACCGATATAAGCTGGGAAGATATACTAAGCAACACAGACCCCAACTTATGCCTAGAACAGATTAACTCGGTGGCACTCGATGTATGCACAAGGCTTATTCCTCTAAGAAAAAGGAGGAGTAGATGTAAAACAGAAAGAGACAGGCGCTCCCTTTACAGGCGACGGAAAAGAATAACAGAGCGGCTAAAAGAGGTCAATATATCTGAAATGCGTAGGGAGACACTGGTCAGAG